GGCTATTTATAAGACATATACAGGTGAAACGCAAGAAACAAGAAGGCATCCAAAATAGAGGCAAAAGCATAATTTATGGTCAGGGGCGGGGTTATCTCCATTAAATAATTACTTTTTCACAGAGCACTTGTTACAACTACGCCAGGCTCCACCCTCACACAATCACAGCGCTAGGGATTGTAAACGAAATATACAGTATGGAGAGGCTTACATTTACATTAAGGCTCAAATTTGACAAATGTAACACGCTTTGGGAAAAATGGACTATGTATGTAAACCATTGAGTGTGATATTATATATCAAGATGTTGGAATTGTTTTGTGATACTGTCTGATATTGTAACATCCATGATAACTATTATGTTCTTTGTTCCAATAAAAAAAAAAAAACAACAAAAAAAACAAAGCAGCCCCCGCCGCATGTTTGACTGACATGTACGAAATTTCTGTGGTTCATTTACCATGTCCAGGCGCAAAGAAAAGTCTCTTGGAGCGATGCCCTTAACTTAACAGGAAGTCCGTCATTTCTGATTTTACCGCCATTTTTGGATGATTTACTCATTACGTACTTTAACTAACTCCTCCTAGGGATTTTGTCTGATCGACTTCACATTTCTGCTGTGTCTTCTAAAGGCATTGACGATGAAAAGTTGTGCTATCTGCGTGTTTTCATCAATGTTTGTGTCTGAGGCTTCAACGATTCGCCATGAAACAGGAAGTTGTTGTAACTTCAGTGTACATCCTCAGACCTGCGTGAAATTTTACACGTTATACAACAGTCCCGCCCTGAACACATGTACATGCCGAAATTAGCCCACAGTCATAGCGCCACCTGCTGGCAACAGGAAGTGACCTTTAACGAAGCAGGCTTTATGAGGAATAGGCACATCTCTAACACTATTAGACTAGTATTAGATACTCTTGACTACTCTGACTTCATAACTCAAGATGGATTCATCCTCTTCTTAGATTTCTATAAGTCTTTTGATACAATACAACACTAATAGACTCAGAAGTGTGTAGCAAATTGACAGCCGCACCGGCTGAGCTCCGGAATATGCAGCGCGGCCGCCTCACACCCCGACGTGCTACAGGTGCGAGGGCCCGCCCATCGCTGCTTGCAGCTTTAATTCCACTTGAGATTGCTACCACTAACTTACGACCAGATATTATTTTGTGGTCTGGATCAGCACGCATTGTTCAGCTGATAGAGCTAACAGTGCCATGGGAGGATGCAGTAGATAAGAGAGGAAGAAATTGCGGTGTGCTCATCTGGCCACAGAGGCAGAGCAGCGAGGATGGAGAGTCCAAGTTTATCCAGTGGAAGTGGGTTGTCGAGGTTTTGTGGCACACTCTACAACCCGGTTGCTCAGAAACGTCGTATTCAGTGGCTAAGAGTTGCGTTGCACAGTAAAGAACTTATCTGGAGCAGCAGAAAGGAGCAGCAACTGGCTGTGGTTGAGACGGAAAGATTCTAGCTGGCTATGTACAGGCCGCCACACTACGGTTTCGAAGAATTCTTGAAGAGTCTGTTTGTATAGGTTGCACTGAAATTACAGTCATTACGTTCCTGTGTATATTGTTTGAATGACGGTGGTTGGCCAGATATTGTGGTTTGCTGTAGGTGGTATGCCATACGGAACCGTTTGCCACTGAAACTGCTTAATAACGCACCAGTGGGGCATGACAGCCATTATCAAACGGGTTGGCGCGTATGGTTGGGTTGCGCGTGATTGTGGTTAGGCCTCTGTAGGTGTCAGTAAGCTGGGCTGAGTTGAGTGGGGGACGGAGGGGGGTGACTCTGGGTCACTGTCGAGCCCTCTTGAGGTGTCGTGGGCAAGTCGACGAAACACTGAGGACGGAAGGTGCCCACTTGAAGACCCTAGAGATGTCCCCTACTCGGCTCAATGCAGACGGTTGTCGTGGTGGTCCACTAGGGAGACCACACTGTAGTTGCAGCCGTCGTGTGTGCTGAAGCGGCAAGTGCACTGCAGCCATTAACGCCGGACAGAAGGGGAGTCACACCACCATATGGAAAGAAGCGTAAATGGATGGAGAAGCATAGTTTACTGTAAAGCTACGTCTTAGCTTACCTTGGCGAAAGCCAAGTATAAATCAGCATGAAGTTTTAACATCTACTCTCGTGTAATGGAAATCATGCTATATTTTTTTTAACCATATACACCTTTGTTTTACACAATATCATCTGACTGGCAACAATAGCAACTGACTGGCTACTAATGTTAAACAGAAACAGTGTTGGCATTAGTTTACAGTACGTTCTTGATCAAATCGAAGATAACGTCATAAAGCATATATACATGAAAAATACATTTACAACATTAGTACTTATACAAAATTCAGGTCCATAATGTTTGTACGCGTTTGCCGTAGACACAAAATAGTATAACTAGTAGCCTAGTGGCTATAAAGCCAGCACCGGCATTTGAAAAAAATAAAATAAAACACAAGGCTACGTCTGGAATTATACATGCAATTAAAATGATTAAGTCTTAGCCTACTTACAGGTTTTGGCCCAACAACTGCTGCCTCTGGTTTTAAAGGGGTCATATATTGGTACGTGCACTTTTACAAGTTGATTGTACTGCTATGTATGTTGTCAGTGCCAAGCATCATTTAATGATAAAAATCCATCCAGTGGTTTTGTTTTAATCTCCTTATTTGTTTTCCCCTGCCTCAAATCGAGCCATTCGACCGCACGCCCATCCCCCCCCCCCCCCCCCGGTTGTTGATTGACAGCAGTGTTTCAACACAGACCCACCCTGAGCGAGCTGTCATCATAGCCTATAGTCTGTCATTGTTGATACACTGGAGCAGAATGGCGTCTAAGCAATTGTGTTGTTCTGTTCTTGGGTGCAATAACAAACACAGAACAATATGAAACAGAATGATCTTCCAATAACAAAATCATTCTGATGTTCCTAAATTTGAACTGCTGAAGACGCAGTGGCTGAGTTTTGTTTACGAAGGGAATATTACCCACGATCAACGTCAATACTTTCTTGTTTGCGTGAATCATTTCTCACCAGACTGCTTTATAAACGAGGATCAGTATAAAGCTGGTTTTGCTAAGAAGCTGTTCCTGAAAAAAATAATCAGTACCAACTGTTTATGTTCCCTCTGCACCTAAAGTTTTATTAATCTTTATATTAATCTTTGCAAATCGCGGGGAAAAAGTTTTTCATGACCATTATTAGTTGTAACGTCAATCTGTCAATGAACTAACGTATACATCAGTAAACACACAGCGTTCGTATCTCACTACTCTGCCCTGCCAGTGCAAAGATAGATCAAAGTAACATTACGTTAACCAACCATTCAGAAACGTCCTCAAGCCTTAATTGTCGAACTTCTTTGCGGCCGTCATCTTGTTCCGGTGAACAGTTACTCCAGTTCAAACTGATACGGTTGCGCAGATGTGTCCTCAGAGACTCCCGCTGTCATTCTCTCTCCAAAACCTTCAACTGTTGTCAAGGCAACACTCCAGGTGCGTTCACGCCGCAGAACAGAGGGGTGGGGTTTATTATTTAAAGGCATATATGACACCCAAACAGCTTGCTGAAAACAAGAGCTGATTTTGACCAGGTAAAATGGTGTTTTCTTAAAATACTAATGAGAATTTTTAATAAAAGTATATTACAAAGTTTTCATTTAGACCCTAAACATTCATATTAACTTGTACAAAAATGGCATTATATGACCCATTTAAAGCTGGAACTGCTTCATGTTTTAGTAACAGTTTCTTGTTGAATCCGGCATTGAATTCGTGGAGATTCTGGAAGCTGTCTTCCATAAAATGCGCAGCACAGAGAGCTAGATTACGATCGTCACTTTCAGGAAAATAATCCAACATAAATTGTATCCATTGTTGACGAAGTCCGTGGGAAGCTCGAACACAGAAGACCTGACAGCTGGGTGAACACAACACACTCGATGAGCCATGCGCATGCCATTTTTGGCATATTCCAGAGGGAGGGTTGATGCAAATGTATGGATTAGTGATGTCTAAAACCCAGCTGTAGTCCCAATCGAGTTGTTTTTGTAGGCAACATACTTCCTGATTTTTAAAAGACGATATCTCTGCTTACACTAAACTTTCAGCGCTGCAACTTTGCAGATACTATTAATTCACCAACAGCAACATTACACTCTATTTAAAATGAAAAAAGTGAAATCGCAATCAACCCCCCCCCCCCCTTAATTTTGTGCCGAATAGCACGTTTTTCCAGCGTGACCATTCTAAACAGTAGGAGAAAAAAATTTCTGCTATCTCTGATCATTTTATAAAGATAAAAAAGATATTACATAAGAATTACAGTACAAAAGAAGATTCTGCCCTTCTCAGCTTTGATTTCTGGGTGCCCATTATTACAGTGATTCATTCATATAAGCATGACCCACTTTGAGTCTGGAAATACCTTTTCTCACTACTTTAAAATCTGATTCAGTCATGAATAATTAGATATCACAGTCATATTTGCTTGCCTATGCATCTCTCTCTTTGATGATTTTTAATCACCCTATACATTTTAGAAGGTATATGGCCTTTAGTTTATCCACTTCCATCCCCATTACTTTTCATGCATCAAGAAAGCTAAGTGAACTTCAGGGTACTTTTACACAACAACGATGTATTAAAAACTTAATTTTTTTCCTTTTCATTTTCCATGTACAGATGACTACACTGTTAAAACAATCCCTGTTCACTCGAATCTGCAAAAACGATGAACAACACTGTACTATGCATGCCAGGCCAGAAGGTAACAAGGTCACATTGTAAAGAAAAACTATATGCCTGAAGACTGAACACATGATACACATGCACATGACGCCACCGTTTTCACAAATTCCCATTTTTGTATTTTACACACAGTGTAAATTAACTGCCAAAATGCATTTAGTTTTCAGTTTATAGTTGAAATGGTTGTTTCAATGGCCTCGTAGTCTCTTGTGAGTGGCTTTTGTCACTGGGTGACATAGAAGGAACTTTGGTTGCAGAACGACTTGCCCTGGGGGAGACTTCTGAGGTGACACCAGGAAGGTTCCTGCCACCTGTCATGGCTGACCGCGTTGACAAGTGGCAGCTGCAGCGGCTAATCAAGCAGCCATTGGAGTGCCTGTCTCCAACGGGGGATTTAAAAGCGGCGGCTTGAAGAGGCTAGAGAGGCAGAGCGGTCGCGATCAAAGTGTGAGGCACGAGAAAAAGAGAGGCAAAAAGAATCAGAAACAGGAAGGATAAAGTGCAGTCAAGGTGTGAGGCATGATTGAGATTGCGAACAGAAGGAGTGAAAGCATTGTTTAATGTACAGGTTGTTTTCCTGAGCCCCGGCCTTTGGATCGTTAATCAAACCTGATGTCCCCCTTTTGAAGATCACAATGGTGGATTGGCCGGGCCCTGACGAGATGGAGTGGAGGTATACTTTTCAGTGTGAAGTGGTGTGTCATTGCAGTGCAGTGACAAAACTTTGCTACTGTAAAAACACATAATTAAAGTTGATTTTAGCTGATCATTATGAAATTATTACATAATATAGTGACCAAAATGATCACATACACAGAATCTTGTTCAAAAAGCCTAATACACAGTGTAATCAATTCACCAAGTTAATAACATTAAAGATTTGTTTTAAATGAGTGTTTTTTATATTACCTACTAAACTTAAAAAAAAGGTTAACACAAAAAATAGGTTTTATAAAAAGATAAACCTCATATTTCAGCATTTAAATCATCTCTATAAAAAGAATGAGTCAATAAAGATACATTCATGACTAATAATGCACAGTAGCTTATCTTTTATGTTTAATAGTAAAATTCGTACCGATTTTCCCATGGCTGTCGTTGCTAGAACCATGCACTCATTACACTGCGCTCTCCACAACGACAAAGGAGTTTTAGTAGCTAATGTATTTCCACCACCACCACCACCACAGAAAAACGCTTGCTGTAGCTCTGCTAAAAGATTTGTTTACGGAGAAGAGAAAAAACACCAAAGTGTACGTGCACTCCCATACTGAAAAGTTTATGAGCGCACTTCCCGTGAGCGCATAATGAGCGCGCTTCTTCGTGCGCCTATTTGAAACATAGAGGATTTGAAATAAGGAACTCGAGCGCACAAAAAAGACGCGATACGTGAACTAATCAGGAGATCTCCTTGACATCGCTTCTGCGCACGGGGCACCTTCTCAGCAAGCAGGGCGCCATTGCCAATAATTGAATCGAAATGATAAAAAAATAGAAAAACTTCGCGGCACAGAGGATTTTTTTAACTGCTCGTGCCGCCCCCTATGTGACATGAAGAAATGCCGCCCCGGGCGACTGCCCGGTTCGCCCGTGCCTAGAACCGCTACTGTTGCAGTGTCTGAAGATTGAAGTGAGCAAGTGTGAAGATTTACTGGGTTTGATGTATGCACAAGTATGGGAAAATTAAATGCTACCAACACTCTGAAATCTGTGTCGGGGATTGTCTAGCCCAGCTGTGCATCAATAGATAATTTGAACTGCTGGGGGTTAAGCTTTGTACAGGTTCCCAGTTCATGCCACTGTGGTAAAGTAAGGATAAGTACAGCCCTGTGTCATTGTCATTACTGTTCTGTGGTAAGAGAAGAATCAGTTATTAACTGCTGGATTATGTACTCGCCATTGATGTTCTGTGAACAGAGAGATCCTGTCATCTGCCGCTGCATTCCGCCATTGCTGTCCTGTGGTAAGAGAAGACTCACTTATTAACTGCTGGATTTGGTACTCACCATTGCACATTCTGCCTGCTGCTGCCCTGCGAAGGAAAGGAGACACTCAGTTGTTTGATGCTGTCTTGTGAAAAGACAAAGTCCACTGTCTGCCGCTACCTAACTGGAGTCCCCTGTGTCCTGCCTACCACTTACTGTTGTCTGTCACTCTTCATTGGAGAGTCCTTGTCCTCTGTCCTGAAAACAGCTAGCTTTCCTGAAAGCTAACACCCTTGTTCCTCCACACTGTTCTGTACAAAGAGATGGCCAACTGCCGGCTGGCCTGAGTCTTCCCTCATTGAAGACTCCTTTGACTGGTTTCCATGAGCGGCCCCAGCAATGAGTCCTGCGTCAGTGACCTTTTCAAGTGTTTTTTTTTTTCGTTCCATGAGTGGCCCCAGCAATGAGTCCTGCATCTGTCACGGTTGGTAAATCCTATGTCTACTTCTTGTCTCATGTTTCTGTTATTGTTGTGTGTGTGTGTGTGTGTGTGTGTGTGTGTGTGTGCTGATGAGAGGGGCGTGGCCACTCAATCAGCACTCATCAATCACCCATCACCAGCTGCACTCTATCATTCATGTGTATACTGTACTGTATATTCTCATCAACTTCTCATCTCCTTTGTCAGATCGTTGTTTGTGGTTCCCGGTGTGTGTGTTTCCCATTCTCGTTCAGTCGTGTGCTTCTCTGGTTCCGGTTCTTGTTCGTTGTTGTTGGATTACTGTTCATCGTTGGATTTCACCACAACCACCACCACTACACGCTGCACCACTTTCTGACCATTGGAGCCCCTGCGCCACTAAACTGCTTGCCTGGATTAGAGACTGTTTACTTGTATCATCATTATAAATAAAGAGTTAACTGCAATTGCTTCCGTCTGATATATCATGACAGGTGAGTGACCTTTTCAAGTGTTTGTTTTTTTTTTACGTTCAATAAAGAATCAAGCTTTTATATCACGTCGTTGTCTGGCCTCGTTGGTGTCCTTTGGTGTAGCTCCTCCAGAGTGGTGGTTGTCCTTGTCCCTAGTGGCGACACTTTCTTAAAGGGATAGTTCACCCAAAAATGTAAATTCAGCCATCATTTACTCACCCTCAATTCTCTATTCATATACTTTTTTTATGATCGCTTTACACAAATAAGTTTTGGGCGAAAAGACTTTAAATTTCGAGACAAAAATCTCTCAGATTTCATTAAATGTCTTATATTTTGAAGTTAAACAAAAGTCTCATAGGTTTGCAATGTCATGTGGGTGGAGTTGATTACAGAATTATCATTTGTAGGTGAGCTATTCCTTTTAGATAGAGAGAGATTAACCACAGTCTAAAAAAGGATTTTGAGTAGAATCACCACCAATGATGTAGTGCAAAGTGTATCTGTGATTAAAAAAAAAAATCTCCATGGGCCATATAAAGAATTAATCCTCCCTTCAAGAATGAATATCCATAAAGAGCCTTTCCATATTTTAAAGATGTGCATTTAATTGGCTAAAATGAGCAAAGTTATACTTCAGGCTTTGTAATGAATTTCTCCTTGTGAAGAGTCATTTTATTCGCTTTCTACACTTTTTTCTTCCTTTCCCTCCCACTTCCCACTTAGCCCTGAAGCTGTGTTTCAAAGCTCAGCAAACAGTATGGGACTTCAAAGCTAAGCAAAGCTGAGAGAGAGAGAGAGAGAGAGAGAGAGAGAGAGAGAGAGAGAGAGAGAGAGAGAGAGCACGATCAACTATATGCCTAGAGACACTGATATACTGTAAATATAAAATGATTGATGATGATGATTGAAGATTTAAGATTTTTATTGCTGTTTATTTTGTGTAAAAAAAGAAAAATATTATTATTTATTATTATCATTTATTTGTTTTGTTTTTTAATAATTATTTATTTGTTTGTATTGTATAGTGTTATGAATGCTTTGGCAATGTAAAGATATTTTTCACCATGCCAATAAAGCTATTTGAATCTTGAGAGAGAGATATAGAGAGAGGAATAAAAAAGGTAAATAAATAACCAGCAGACAGCATACATTAATTTCTCTACATGGTTCTGCCTGAGTTTCAGGCTCTTTGGGGAGATATGGATGGATTAGCAAGTCAGAAAGTGCTGACCGGTGCCTGAGTTGACTCTCGGGGGACTGCACAGGGAAGAGCTTCAATAAACAAAATCAGTTGTGGTATTAAGCACTGCCACAGACTGATTCAGCTGTATTATAACCTTAATCAATATTTTGATCAATTAAACCATCCATGATACTGCAGCACCAGAGTGAAGCACCTGTACTCTAAAGTGAGAGTTGCAGTCTCAAAAGTAGTGGTGTTAATATAATAGTATTATATTTATTATAATATTCTCGTTTATCATCGAAAATAATGTAAGATATGAAAAGATGAAACGGAAATTGGGGCATGAAACAGGAATTATCTTTTATTCTCTTCTTCCCGAAGTGAATTGGCTTCTTGAATAAGAAAACATAGGTTGGGCCTTGATTTTGTCCATTGGGAATTGATTGGCTGTTTGGATTGCTGTTGTTTGCTAATTGCTGTAATCTCATGTAAGTGACAGTTTGCTGAAAAGGATGGATTATTGGCCAGTAATCGCACCAGTGCACACATTATCAGAGAAGAGATGCTGTTGTGGATGGGGGTTAGTTCATGGTGACTTAAGAATTTATAAGAGAAATAATAAATATCCCTTCTAGTAACCAGTATTATTAGCTTGTTACACGTTATATACCTTGTGTAACAGGTAATGTCCAGCAGGTTTCCAGTTTGGCTCTGTTTTATGTGTTTAGTATTTATAGCTTTATATCTGGCTCTTGTTCAAGGCCCATTTCATGTCTTTTAGTTTTTATATTACCTTGTTTGTGTTTCCTTTCAATGTCAAATGCAATAGTACTGATGAAGGTGAGACTTTGGCAGAAGCAACGACTTCTGAAGATGAAGGAGAGACTCTGGCAGAAGCAACAACTTTGAGAATGAACCAGTGAGCACATTTATTTTGCACACTAGTACATTTTTTGTCCCATCTAGGACTTATGAGGTGGGGTGAAATGGGATAATATGTTACAGATAATCAACAAAATAGATTAAATAACAAAATATAAAATATTATTATTAAAACATAATGATAATAATAATTAAATTATTTAATTGTTATTAATAATAATAATAATTAAAGTGTTTATAAGCAAAAGTTGTAAAAATAGTTTCAGAGTAGTTTCATGCTATGTACAGTAAGTCATTGGGCCATTAGGGACCGTTCGGTATTTATGGAAAGGTCCACCGGAGGAAAATAAGGGAGGGTCATGTCTTTTTATTCTTTGATGAGGGGAGGGTCATCCAACTTTTTTAGTCTATAGGGGAGGGTCACCCAACTTTTGTATTCATCAAAACAGGTAAATTTCAAAGTGGCTTGTTTGGTGTATGTTT